TATATGAGAGCTTATTTAGCTTTATTGAGGGATATTCTGTTGGCTCTACTTCTGATCCAAATCTTTCACTTAATAAATCAACTAAGTGGGAATCATATGCCTTTTTTGTCCTTTTCTTCTTCTGGTATTTGTTCTTTAGAAGAAGATTTTGAATATTCTCCTCTTTCTCATTTAGAGGACGAAATCATCTTCACGGCTAATACTTTGTAGTCTATTTTAGACAAATCTAAAGCCTTCTTCTTAAATTTCATGCTTGGAGGGAATTCCCATATCATTTCCATAGGTTTTTCTTTTTTAATTACTAATGTTCTCTAATTAGAGATTTCTAGTGAACTCAATAATGTTTCTATTCTATTTATTTGAGAACAATGTTCTAGAATATATGAGAAAAAAGAAAAGAAATCAAAATATTCTAAAACTAAGAAAAATTATAAGACCCATACCTGCTATAAATGTGGAAAGAAGGGACACTATGCTAATAAGTGTTTTAAAAATTCTAAAAAGATTAATGAGTTAGAGGAATCTAATAAAGGAGAATAAACCACTTCTGATGAAGGAGAATCTTCTACTTCCTTAGAAGCTTGTTGCAAAAAAAATGGTCTTTGTACTTGTAAATATGAAACAAGTACAGAAGAAGAATTGAAAAGTATTAATATGCTTTCGTTAGATGAGGAACACCTTCTACAAATTCTAGAATACATTCTTGATGAGGAAACCAAAAAAAAGCATCTGTTTATAGCAATGCAAAGTAACAAAGGAAAAGGATAAAAACAAAAATCTAAAAGAGATTTATTCACATCTGAGAACATAATATCATATGATGAGATGAAAAAGGCTCAAGTAAGCACCTCACGACCTCCTACTTTAATAGACCTTAAAGATTTAAGGTCCTCAGAAGTTGAACAATTAGTCTTATAAAGATTTAATGTATCAAGATAGATAGGTCCTCAGAACTTATAGAATTTGTAGGAGAAGATGAAGTGTTTATATATTAAATTGAAGAAGTCAAGTACCAAAAGTGGTACTCAAAAGTGACTCTTAGAATTAAGGGTTTTTATCTTACCACTATAGTCGTAATTGATTCAGGGGCATATATAAATTGCATCTAAGGACTCATTCCTTCCAAACATTTTGAAAAAAACCACTCAACAAGTGAGTGCAAATGAGAGAAAGTTGGGAATTAAATATAAAATTCCTACAGCCTACATTTGTAATCAATGCACCTGCCTAAATACTACATTCCTTATGATAAGGAACTAAAGGCAAGATGTTATTCTAGGAACCCCTTTCTTATTGTCAATCCTACCCTGCCAAATAAACTCCGTAGGAATTACAACCACCACAGATGAAATAACTATCACTTATAAATTTTGTTGAAAACCTAAGACAACAACCTTAAACACTTTAAAAGAGAGTCTAAAAAATAAAGTCAAATTTGTTTCTGAATTAATGACAGAAATAATAGGAAAGCAACTAGTTAAATCCCTTGAAGAGCAAAAAATTCAATTAGAAATTGAGAATTTTCAATCTAAATTAGAAAAGGAAATATGCGTTGAAACTCCAAGCACTTTCTGGCATAAGAAGAAGCATGAGGTAGATCTTCCATATGAAGAAGGATTTAGTGAAGCTAAAATTCCTACAAAGGCCAAACCTATTCAAATGAATAGTAGATTATTACAAATCTATAAAAAATAAATCCAAGACTTATTAGTTAAAGGTCTAATTAGACCAAGTAAGTCTCTATGGAGTTGCCCATCATTTTATGTAGAAAAAATAGTAGAAATCAAAAGAGGAGTACCTAGGCTAGTAAAAAATTATAAACCATTAAATAAAGCCTTAAGATGAATTAGGTATCTCATTCCTAATAAATAAGATTTAATAAATAGTTTATATGCCGTAGAAATATTTTCTAAGTTTGACTTAAAGTTAGGACATTGACAAATACAAATAAATGAAAAAGATAGGTATAAAACTACCTTTATAGTACCATTGGGGCATTATGAATGGAACGTTATGCCCTTTGGCTTAAAAAACACCCCTTCAAAATTTCAAAGGATTATGAATGAAATATTTAATCCTTATACTCAATTTATAATTATCAATATAGATGATGTCTTCGTATATTTTCAATCCTTGAAGTCTCATTGGAAACATCTAAGTATATTTCTCAAAGTCATGAAAGAAAACGGCTTAGCAGCATCAGCTAGAAAAATGAAACTTTTCCAAATTGGAACTAGATTTTTAGGATATCAAATATCCAAAGGAAAAGTAGCGCCTATCCAAAGGGTGATTGAATTTGTAGATAAATTTCCTTATAAAATAAAGGACAAAAATCAACTTCAAAGATTTTTAGGTAGTCTTAATTATGTAGCAGACTACTACAAAGATTTGGCTAAAGATTGCCAATTACTCAAAAAAAGACTTGAGAAAAGTCCTCCATAATGGAATGATCAGTTCACTGAAACAGTAAAGAGGATTAAACAAATAGTCAAAACCCTTCCTTGTCTCAATATTCCTCGCCCTTAAATCCCTAAGATCATTGCAACTGATGCTAGTGAAATGGGATATGGAGGGATCCTAAAGCAGAATAGAAACGACAATGATGAAATTATCAGATTTACCTATGGAACCTAGAATGAAACTCAACAAAAATATTCCAATGTCAAAAAGGAGATGTTAAGCATTGTTTTATGCATAATAAAATTTCAAGGTGATTTAATAAATCAACATTTTACTTTGCAAATTGATTGTAAATCTGCAAAAGAGATTTTGGAAAAAGATGTAAAAAAACTTGGTTTCAAAACAGATTTTTGCCCGATGGCAAACAAATTTATCAGTTTTTTATTGCAAAATTAAATATATTAAAGGTGTTGATAATGTTTTTCCTGACTTTATAACCAAAGAATTTCTCTAAGGACATCTAATTAAAAATGGCAAACAACAACAGGAATTATCTTCCAAGCCCTAATCAGAGGCAATTCAATAGAAGGAGTCATTAGTCCAGCCCAATTTCTTATAGGACTAATTAGTCCAATAGAACTAATTCTCCCTTAAATAGGGATCAATCTCTGCCAATTGATGAGACTGAAATTAGCCAATATATGACTAACTCTTATGAGTTTATTATAACAATAAGTTGTGCGAAGGCATCAGTGATTTCATCCTCCATAAATATTGATGGAGCAATAAATGTGTTCGTCTCTGAATATTTAGAGGGACATCATTTTATTGTCTGTTGTCTAAATAAAGGCCAAAGATATTATGAAGAGATCCTTATTTTAAGGATTCTAGAATCCAACACTATTTTAAGGATTCTAGAAAAACTAGTATAGCTTATTCAAAGCTAATAATTGTTAAATTCCTGACTAAAGATTCATGGGGAGAACCCAATAGACATAAATTTATCACCAGGACAATTGATTGAAGACCTAGAGTATTCAACTACTATGATTATCAAGATGCCTAGTACAAGGTATTCTTAATCCAGAATACTGTGTTCCGTCATTCTTGGTTCATTAGATTCTTAGAAGACTTTCAAGGCCCATATCTAGACTGGGTCTATCTCTAGTGGACATCTTGGGGAGCGCCTGATGATATATTTCCCCAAAAAAGAATTATTAGATAAATATATAAAATTTGGCTAAGGGAGGAGTTATCTGGAGCATGATCATGTAAAACAATTTAAGTTTTTCAAGACCTATCGCGTTCCCTAATCCTAAGGTGGAAGTATCACCTAGGTGTTTCATGGATGCCACTTGCTATAGAAAGAACTATAGAAATCAAGTGATGGGACAAATTTGATCTTACAACCACTCTAAAGCTTCAAGAATACAAATATGCTTAGTACAACTACATCCAAAGTAATACAAAATACAAGGTTGTGTACTCTACATATTTGCATTTGTATTCTTTCCAAACTGAGCCTTTGGTCGTGAGACATAGTAGATGCCATCATGTCAAAAGTAGCTACCTAGTAACTATGTTGATTCATTTCAGCTAGGGGTAGTATCAATGGACTAGTTTTGGGTTGGACCTCTCCAAATCAAAATCAATTTGGACGGATTGTTGAGATATATTGAATTGGATCACTCTAGACTTAATGATCTAAATATTTATTGGGTTGGATTGGACCTGATGCATCCATAGATAGTAGGTGAGAATACAGGTGTCAATAGACTAAGTTTGGGTTGGAAACAATCTAAATTAAAACCAATTTTAACAGGTTCGATAATTTAGACATTGAATTGGACCGATCCAAAATAGTCCAAAGTAATCCAAAGTAATCATCATATTAGATTAGACCTCATCCAAGCTCATATTAGACCGGATTAGATTATACCAAATGACACCCCTGCATTCAACCATGGACCATGGGCCATTGCTTTGCTTTATGTAGCAAGTAGCAACCATCTTCGCAATTCAGCTGGTTCTAATTGAACTAGGTTAGCTTTTTTGTTAGTTTTTATTTTGTTATTATTATTTTTTTCTCTTTTAAACTATGAATCTAGAAATATAATCGATTCTATCGGGCCTGGTTAGCCTGACTAGTAATCGATCCAATGCTGGATTTGAAATTGTAGTATGTGTTTGGAACTATGGACATTTATTGACTAAACGTTTTGTACTTGATTTATTTGAAAAATCGAGAAAAGTAATGATGAACCCGTTTATTAACACTTAGGCACCACATCAGTAAAATAATTTATAGACACTAAATGGTATTCCCCCAATGATAAGCGCACACATAAATTGAAGTCTAATTTTACAAGTCCCTCTGAATAGGGATTCACATAATGAGAGAAATGTTGAAGTGCTGCCTACCTGATAATATTTATTTAATAAATGCACACGGTTCCAAACACCCATCCTAGAATATGTTGTAGGGGAGATTATTTTTCGGTTCGGACCTATCTTCGGATGTTGCAGGATCCGATCCGAATCCGGCACGATTACTACACATATTTGAACCTTGAAGTACCATCATTATCATCCCACGGAGAAGGAATGCAAACAATGAACCTCCAAAAGCTGCCTATTTCTGACATGTGTAAACGTAGGGAAGATCCGAAGATGGACAAACATCATGACGACTGACGAGACGGCGAGCGCGAGACCCTTTTATATTAAGAAAGTGTCCCGTCGGCCTTATATCATCCTTGGAGTCTCATCAGCAAAACGGTACAACCATGATCGGATTCCTCTCTATCCTCTGCAAATCGAACAGTCTCAGGAGCCACAGTTCGAAAATATCACATTTGATCCAAAATTCGTCCTCTAAATCCATTTTCAGGTCTACCCATCTGTCTAATCCAATCAACAATAGCATTCCCTCCTCAATTCAATTCAATTTCGGCTCCCCAATCTCTTCAGCTTCTTTTTTCTTGCCTGGGTTTTCTGTAAAAGGCTTGGCCTTCACAAATTGGGCAGAAAAGGGAGATGGGCTTTCCTTGTTTAGCAATTCTAGTTTGAGATGTCCATTCAAAGAAGGAGCTGGGTTTCTGCGACTTCGCAGTTCGGCTGGAGGGTCGAGAACTTTCTCTAGTGAATCCGAACGGGAGTCCATAAATTACGATGTTGTCATTGTGGGAGCTGGGCCCGCTGGGTTGTCGGCGGCGATCCGTTTGAAGCAGCTATGCCGAGAAAAGGATGTTGATTTGTCCATCTGTGTCGTCGAGAAAGGTGCTGAAGTGGGTGAGTACCTCTGCTTTATTGGATTTTGACTGATTTGGGCTATTAATTCTATGTATTAGCTTGCAATTTCTGAAGTAAACATGGTAGCTGTTGTTAATCCCTCCTAAAATGCCCAAGCTTGTTCTTACAATAAAGAGAGTGATATTTTGTTAGATATACAATGATTACCATCTTCTAGAACTATACTACTTAGCTTATTTGGGAAGGCCAGGTGGATGCAAAAATTATCATGTTGACATAACAAAACGATCAATATTAGCTTGCAATATTATGATGGAATGGTGAAGCGTGACTCTTGTAGCTCATCCAAATAGTTGGATAGGGCTTAGAGGTCGTTTGATAAAGGATGAAATGCTGACCTGACTGAAGGAGCTCACAACCTCTCCTGGTCACTAAAAGACGATGCAGTTAAATTCATCCATTTAAGCTGTTATCACAGTCTCTTAATTGAATTAAGTTCAGTTGATTGAGTTCATTGGAGATTGGGGACCCTCCATAGCAAAAGAGACTGAAGAGGTTGTAATCATGATTCTTAAGTGAGATATAATACCGGTAAAGGACACTTTCTGACTTTGGATATAAGGTCTTGGTCCCCAGAAACCTGGACAATCTGCTTGTTTGAAGGTTCCAAGAAACCTGGACAATCCCCAGAAACCTGGAGCTTTTGGTCTAGGTCCATCCCAAGAAAAGATGAACTTGAGAGCCTCCCTTAAAAAAAGCGAAGTAGTAAATAACACTTAGATTTTATATCAGGTTAGCCCAACCATGTATACAAATGGTTTACCCGAAAAAAAAATGTATACAAACAGGAAACAATATTTTATTGCATCTTCTCTCAAGATCTCAAGTGAGAGTTTTAAAGTTGTCACTTTGTATACATGGGATATAAAATTGATTGTACTAGGCCCTTTTTGATCAGAAACTAAGAACAAAACTTTTATTAATATAAACATAAATTGTACAGTTTTTTTTTTTTTTATATACAAAATTGAGAGCATAGTCATGCTATCCCCATAGTTGTCAAGGCAGCGCCTAGGCGACAAGGCACCCTTGGAGGCTCGCTTTGCCTAGTTGCCAAGCAGTTTTGTATACTGTCTTATAAAATACTTTTATATTGTTATTTTTTTGAAATTATAATTATAAAATAGACATTATTAAACAAAAATATTCATTTTTATTCATAAAAGAAAATCATTTTTTGTGTTTATAAACTAATTTCTTTTTATTTTCTTATTTGTTAGGGTTTAATCAACACAAACATTGCTAATTGCTGTATTGATCCCTCAAAGACTTCAAAATCTGAACCAATAAGTAAGGGAAGAGCTTAAAATTTTGTCTAATCAACACATTTTTTCTTCTTCTTTTCCTATAACAAAAATAGGGTTCAACCACTATATTTTTTGAATTTTCTTTTCTTTCTTCTTTTTCTTCTCATAAATATGTTGATTTTCTAGACTCAAACATGAAGTTTATAATTTTCTTATGAAAATTACGGATAGTTGTTTAGGAAAGATGGTTATGGAACCTAGGGAACTACCCTAGGATATGCAGTTTTTACTTACAAAAATCCAACACCTAGGCGACTAGGTTTCCCCTTGTTGCCTAGCCTTGCCTTGGCGCCTTAAAAACTATGGCTATCCCTTCCCGAGTAGATTATTACAATTTTTCCCAAAACAATTGATTTCCATTCATCCCTTGCTTTGTTAGATTATCAGCCCAAGTATTTTCTGATCTTTTTTTTTGATGAGTAATAAAAGTTTTATTAAACTGCTTTAGAATTGAAACATCATACAACAACCCATGGAGATGTGCGAGCTGCAGCCTCTCCCAAAAGCTCATAAATAAACTAGTAATGAATTACATAAAACACAGCTGAGCCCAAAAACAATTCTTCCCTATTTATTCCTTGTTTGGCTAACACATCAGCTAAAGTATTTGCTGATCTCCCCACCCACTGTATAGAAACCAACATGTTCCTTGTCAGTCAAATAAATTTCTTAATTTCATTCTTGTAGTACCATATTGTATCATTGGGAGTTTTCTGCCAGAACACCACCACCTTGGAATTCCCTTCAATGATTAGATGCTCTACCCCCAATTGGTTTGCAAACTGCAGTCTGCACCCCTTGTACAGCAGATAAAAGCTCTGCCCTAACAGAATCTCCAACTCCTAAGGACCTGAGTAGAGCAGTACCACCTCTCCAAACTCATTCCTTAGAGCACCCCCCATTCCAGACAGCCCAGGATTGCCCAAGCTACTTCCATCAAAGTTAGCTATAAAGAGCCTTCAGATGGAGGACCACCTTGTAACTGTCTTATTTTTAATGGAAGAGCACCTTTCTACTTGTGCCCAGTTTCTCCAAAGGTCATCATAGGAGAATTGCTGAAAGATTTCCAAAATCTCGCAAGGTCCAAATCAAGGCAGCACAAGTACATTTCCACATGATTCTCCCTCTTTTACTAGGCCAAAGGAGAGTGTTCAAAGATCAAGCGGACTTCAGCTGGTAATCTCCAACTGCTCCCAAACAATGAGAGTAGCCAAACCCATAAGTTTGCAGAGAATGGACAAGATATTAGTAGATGATAACAATCCTCCCCATACTAGTTGGGAGAAATATAAATGAATGCTCTTCGCTTTTGTAGGTTATCTAGAGTGTTTACTTTCCCATAATACACTTCCCAACAAAATGCCATAATCTTTGGTGGAACCAGTCTGCACCAAATTTCCTTTGAAGGAAAAGGCTGTGGGATAGAGGATTGGGAAATGGACTTGAAATTAATGAATAGTCAACCTAATCAACCACAAAGTTATGTTAAAGCTTTATTTATTTGTTTGTATCTCTACTTATTTGAAATTATATAAAATTAATTTTGTTATATTCCTACTGTTGCTTAAAAATTTTTGATGGAATATGACTGGGTGGTGGTATATAAAATAGAAAAAAAAGGCATGAAATAAAAGAAGGCAGTGGAGAAGTTCTTTTAAGTTTTCTACTAATTAGTAGTGTGCTGGTATGGACTCATCACAAAGAAAGGGTATATCTGATCTGATAGTCAAGGTTGCATTTTTTTTCCTTTGGAAAACAAAGGCTGTAATTTCATATTCTAGCTTATCTAGCCTAAATTTTTATCTTTGCAAAATGAAGATTGTAAACTCAATGTACAATTTCATTATTTTATTACATAGTTGTACTCTATATTAACTTATTTACGAGATTGCATTGATGTCTTAAATTTAGAACATATCTTTTCATATCATCTAGTCAACACCTAAGCATTGACTAGTCATTGCCTCATTGCATTGATAACACTACATCTATACCATATAAGGCGAACATTGCCTTGGTTTTGTTGCAGGTCATAAAAGTTGAATCCAAATATCATATTATCATATATGGTTAATACTTGCACATGTGCATAGCATGTTGTCACGAGGTGACAAGATTGAGTCGACCCTACCGAGGAGAGGGCTGATGGAAGAGGTTCCATGAACAATCTAGAAGCTTTCAGAAGCCCCAAGACACTTCAAGAAGAGTTCAAGGAGATTTCGAAAGCATTCCAAAAGCCTCATGAAGACCCCTTGAACTTTGTACATACTTCTAGAACTATTCTAGAGCATTCATATAAGTCTAGAAGTAGGAGTCTAGAACACCCATGTTCTAGAGAAAGTCTTTAAAGAGGTGGAAGTGCCTATAAAAGGGGACCCCTCCCTCATTTGCAATCAAACAATAAGCAACCAAGCATTCAAGTGTTGTGTCCCTCTCTTGAGCAATACAAGGAGTTCCTTTGAGTTTTCTATCTCTCTTTCCTTATGTGCATTGTGCCTTTGTTTCCTAAGGGTGTGCGTTAGTGTGAGGGACGAGATGGTAAGTTACTTGGTCTCAAAAGCCAGGAGAGTGCTCTAAGTAGGGAATGCTGACTTGTGGAGCGACGGATTGCTGTGCAAGTGTCGCACGAGACGCTAGAGGAGTCTAGGTCCGTGACAACGTGCTCTTACACTAGTGTATATGGTGAAAAGAAACATAAACAACTATTCTCTACATAGATAAAACTTATTTGCCTTGTGTCACTTGTGTCGAGTCTCTAAGAGTTATAAATACTTATAATTTTAGTAAACATTGATCATATTTTGGGAACCGATATTCTCTCCTCTTTACAAGTCATGTTTCCATGTAATTGCAGGTGCTCATATCATATCGGGGAATGTTTTTGAGCCTCGTGCACTTGATGAACTTTTTCCACTGTGGAGACAGGAGGAGGTATGTAAATGCACACTAGACTTCTTGGTGGAAGAGATAAAGAATCAAATTTGAAAATTTCTAGATTACTTGTATATATTTTTTAATTTTTACAATAGGGGTACTTTGGACATTTTACATATTGTCTGTAGGGTTTGGCCTAATAGTTTGATTTGTCTAGATATGGTTTGTTTTTAAAATTTCAAAATTTCAAGGTTGTTGGTTAAATCGGTTAGGAGTTATTGTTTTCATATGACAGTGGCAACTTTTTAGTTTCAGCTTTTTCTGGTTCTAGTAGGATTGACCACCCTATCAAACTTGGTTGCTCTTTACAACTATCATTCAAATTCTACCTTCAAAATTTCATTGAGAAACTTCAATCCTAGACCAATTTTCCCCAATTTGAATTTTTATAGTTTTTTGACAAAATTTCAGTTGTAGATAAGCTCTGAGAGACCATAAGATAACCAATCTGTAGCTTCAGTCCTAAAATCACCTCTAAACCCTATTTTATGTTGTTGTGGTGTATCCTCTCATATATGTATGTATGATATTTTAGTGCAATGATATTTTGGTAAGAAGGTTAGAGTGCTTTGGAGTGTCATCCCTTTCATGGTCTGTTGGGGGATATTGGAGAGAAATAATAGGTATATCTTTTAAGACAAAAAATTGTCTAGAAGAAGATTTGTTGATGATATTTTTTTCCATTATTTTGGACTGGTTTTTAATTTTTTAATTCATCCAGGATTTCAGGATGTGAACAGAGGCTCTTGGTTCAAGTTTGTGGTCAACTTTGTGTTTAGTAAATAGTAAATAGTAAATGAGAATGAATGAATTGCTTTGTGTTTATTGGTTGGATTCTGTTATTTGATTGGGGAATAGGGTGTATGATCTATCTTTTATAGTGAAATCTCTTTACCAATTTGATATTATCTATTCTTCCTTTAGGCTATGTTTGGTTTGAAGGAAAAGGTTGGGAATGGAAGGGAAATGTATGGAAACCTTTCCCTACTTTTTCCTTCAAACCAAACACATCCTTACGATAAAAAACTGGCTAGGGGATTTCTTTGCTGGAATACCATGGTAGCTCTTTGTGCATGTGTGCTATGGTACGTCAAAGGCAGAGAGGTTGTTCCAATCATATGTGCACTTCCTTTTGTTTTCTTTCTCCCCCTTAGTTGCTAGGTGCAAAATTTAAGCAAAGATGGTAACATTTATGCCTCTTTCAGAATAACTCAAGCCATGGTTATATCCTTGAAGTAAATTTGTCAAAGAATTTATAGGATAGTCTGTTTGAGCAATTTGAAGCAGTGGCCTGGTCTCCTCCACCTCGTGGCTGGTTCAAATTGAACTTTGATGGGAGCAGTCTGGGAAATCCAGGCCCTGAAGGTATTGGAGGAGCTATCAGGGATGATGAAGGCAACATTTGTGCCCTATTTTCAGGTCCAGCTGGGCATAGTGAAGTGGCATATACAGAATTCTTAGCTGCTGTATTTGGGCTTGAGAAGGCTAAGGAATTGGGCCTGGAAAGTCTAATTATTGAAGGTGATTCCAAAACAGTTGTGGACTGGTTAAGAAAAGGGGAAGGAGTCTCTTGGCACCTAAGGAATGGCCTTAGGAGATTCAAAAGGCTCTCCAGGGATATGCTGTTTCAAATTAATTGGGTTAGAAAATTGGCCAACGGTTTGGCTTAACAAGGGGTACAAAGACGGTCTATGTTTTGGGTCTTTATGTAATATTTGGGGGTTTGGACATTTGGTGTCCTCTTTGTTTCCTTCACAACTTCTTGTTGTACTGCTTTATTTAATTTTAATGAAATCGATTTTCTGAGTTATTGATGAACAATAAAACAATGAGTAATTTAGGTAAAGCACCCTATTTATTCGTTTCATGTAGAAGATCTTCTGAGAAAAATTAAATATATTTGGTCTTTTCTTTTCTTTTTCTATTTTTTCTGTTTAGAGCCATTGAGTTTGACCTCCTCATGGGCTACAACTCTAATACATTTCACTGGATGAACCTAGCCACCCAAACAATTTTATTGTTTATAAATAGCCTGGAAGATAAGGTAGCACTTTCTAGAAAAAAGGTGTATTGATCAGATGGCTAGATTATTCAATGAAGCTGATTTTCTGTCAAAGATGTCTTCTAAATGGAGCCTTATCAGGTGGTTCTCATTGATCAAATTCAGAATATGCATCGACTTGGTAATGGAATATTAATTAAAAGAGTATGATTATCCTAGAAATGTTTATTTAATTTGCAGTAACCTTCACTTTTTTCTCTCTTTGGGTTCTTACATATGTTTTAATATTATTTGCAGTCTCCAGTCTGTGTTCCTGTTTCTTCTGACAAATTTTGGCTACTGACAAAGGAACATGCATTTTCACTTCCAAGTCCTTTTGATAACAAAGGAAATTATGTAATAAGGTAGTTCCTTTATTTGATTACAATAGGAGTAAGATAGTCTAGTAGAAGAATGTCTTTACTATTCAGGTGTTAGGAACTGATTTGCCTACCCAAAAATCCTTAAGCCATTCACTGACTTTTTCTCATTTTTTTGATAGTAAAGTAATTATTCAACTTTCATGGCTTATCTGTTAGACATTCTCCAGTTTGTCTGCAATGTTGTGACATCAATTGGATCTGTGAGTCACAGCCAAGACTCGTTATATTTTGATACTAATATCATGGGGAAGTTGTTGAATGTGGTAACTTCAGTATGTTTCAACCTTTTATGATTCATCTTAATTATTCAGAAAATTTGAAAGTCATTTGGTTGTATTTGAAAAGAAAATTTACACTGGATTTGGTGCATCTTTGCTATTTCATTGTGAAAGAGGTTGGTTCTCTAATTTATGCATATGTGTCAAAACACAATTTGTTGCAATATAGGGTGGCAGGCTGAAGATTTTCACCCATGCTCCAAATAGTTGTAACTTTCTCTTGTCATGAGAAATTTTGGTAATATCTTCTATTTTAAGAAGATGCTCTAACAAATTCAGTATTTATTATACTATATCATTCCTCTCCCTTGCTTTGAGATAATATCACTTTTGGTCATGTTTTGTTTATCTACTTATGTTGGCTTTATCTGCCATTTTTTTTCATACTTTTAAGGAACCATTTCCTCTTTATAAAGCTTACAATAACAATCCTAGGCCCTGTGATGAAGTTTGAGCCAGTTAGTACGTTGGATGGGAACGAAAGCAGAAGAGTTGGGAGTTGAAATATACCCAGGCTTTGCAGCTAGTGAGGTACTCTCCTCTGTTGAGTTGGTACATAGCAGAGCATATGTTATTGAGGACTGATTATATATGAGTTTGGTATTGGCAGATCTTGTATGATGCAAATCACAAGGTTGTGGGAATTGGAACTAATGATATGGGCATTTCTAAAGATGGTTCAAAAAGGGAAAATTTTCAGCGTGGTGTTGAACTAAAAGGCAAGCATTCTTGATTTATTTCCAGACAATCTGTGATCCTAGATGGATGAAATGGCCTCATTTATACATCCAGAATCCTAGATAAAATGAAATAACTATATTTGTTAGTTATCCTTGGTTTATGATGGACACAGAGGGGGTGGAACTCTTTCTATGGGTCTATCATACCTAAGGTTTTCTAAAATTAATAATTGTTTCAGTTGTATGACTGCATAACCATACAATTTGCATGTGTATAAACTTTCAGAGGAATGCAATAGCACCAACGATCATTGGCAATCCAATCACTTGATCTCTAGCATAAGAGATTTCCTAAATTGGCATGCTAAATGAATGGTGCTACCACCATGTGGTTGAGTCATGGTATTCCTTTTCTGGTAGTTGGCATCCATACTGTCTAGTGATTCTAGTCCATGGATATTTTACATTCTCTCAAACAAAGCTTTTGAGCACATATTCATATCTGTAATATAATTCTGGCATTTTTTCCCTTATGGTGTGCCTTGTAACTAGCTTACCTAGTTATGTACTCATGGTCATCAATCTGTTCTTTATGCTCCTTGTCATTAGCAAGTATTTTCTGTCAATTTTTGTAGATATTCTTTTGTCTAGTCAATGAGATTCTACACCTGAAAAGATTTTCTTATTTAAGCTTTAGTTTTTGCCTTTGAGAGTGAGGACTTGCCTTATTGCATGCATTAATGTGCTTATGTGCATTTTCACATTCTGCATATTGTTTTCTACCTTCCTCAATCAATTAAGAATGTAATTACTTTCTTTCAGAACGTAAGTTTTGAATTTAAAATTGTTTACATATCCCGAATTTAAAATTGGCAATACAACTCTTTCAGCAGATGTCTAATCTCAAGGTGAACTTGGATAAGAGTAGTATGGTGGGTGTGAATTTGAAGGAGAGGGAGCTAAGTGAATATGCAGGTGTGTTAGGTTGTGCAACCTCGGATTGGCCTATGATTTACTTGGGCTTCCCCTTGGGGGATAACCCTAAAAAGGTAAGCTTTTGGAACCCGATGGTGGAAATATTTGAAAAAAGGCTTGCTTCTTGGAGGAAAAGTTATATTTCCTTGGGGGGGGGGAGTCATTTTGATTAGGTCAACCCTAGCTAACCTACATGTTTACTTCCTATCAATGTTTAAGATCCCCGTTTCTAACATTTTGGAAAAATTAATGAAGGATTTCTTGTAGGAGCCTGGAGAGGAAAAGTGGGACCATAGGGTGAGATGGGAGGTGGTAACTAGATGTAAAAAGCTAGGAGGTCTTGGGATTGGGAATATTAGGAAAAGGAACATGGCATTGTTGGGGAAATGGTTATGGAGGTTTCCATTGGAAAGAGACAAATTGTGGACAAAGATTGTGGCTAACATACATGGGCTGGAAGACAATGGTTGGGAACCTGGAATTTTGGCAAGGGCTACAACGGCCTCTCCTTGGAAAGCCATTTATAAGATGTTTCCGGTTTTCTCCCCTTGGATCAGGTATGGTCTTAACTCCGGTAATAGAATAAAATTTTGGGAACAACATTGGGTTGGGGGCTCACCTTTGATGGACCAATTTCCCTCTTTGTATGCCCTATCAGATTTGAAAAATGCACCCATATCATCCTTTTTAAGCCCTTCAGATTCTCCTTCTGGTTTTGGGTGGAACCTAGGTTTGAGAAGGGCAACTAGGGATATAGACTTGGGCCACATCATGTCTTTGTTAGCCATCCTTTTTTTTTATGAATGTCTTTGTTAGCCATCCTTGAAGATGTTTTCTTGGACCCTAATAAGGAGGACACCAAATTTTGGATTCCTTCCTCATCAAGTATTTTCTCTTGTGCTTCGTTTTTTGAGACATTAACTCAGCCTTCTGATCCTATTGGGTTGTCCTTCCCGGTTAAAGAAATTTGGAGTAAGCCCATTCCTCCTTGGGTTGGTAGTTTTTGTTGGGAAACTTTTTGAAAGAATTAACACAAATGACCTACTTCAGAAAAAGAAACCCAATTCTTGTTTACTTCCTAATAGGTGTACTCTCTGTAAAGCTGACGGGGAAACTAGTTACCACCTTATGGTTACTTGTTCGGTTGCTAAAACAATATGAGAGTGGGTTTTTTCCCTCTTTGGGTGTATTTGGATTCCCCCTGGGAGCGTCCAAAGCTTGTTCTCTTCTTCTTTTTCAGATGGTCGAAGAAGAGAGGGAAGATTATGTGGAGAAGCATTAGGGCAACAGTGTGTTGGTCCCTATGGGAAGAAAGAAACTCACGAATATTTTTAGACAAGGAAAGACCCCTGGAAAACTTATTAGATCTAATACTTTTAAGGGTAGCCCACTGGCTGAAAACTATGGAGCTGTTCTTAGGTTATTCTGTGGCTGATTTGGTAAGAAATTGGAAAGAGATATCTTCCTCTCCCCTATGTAAGAGGACTCGTAGTCCTTCTTGGTCCCCTCCTCCCTTGGGGTTCATAAAACTGAATTTTGATGGTAGCTGCTTAAGGAACCCATGGCCTTTTGGGATTGGGGGAGTGTTCAGGAATGATGATGGGGTTATCATGTTCTCAAGCCCAATTGGAGAAGGAGACTCTCTTAGGGCTGAGATTCTTGCAGCCCTGGAAGGTATCAAATGAGCAAGGGAGTTGAACATCAGATGTTTGGCCCTTGAAGGCGACTCGGAGGTGGTGATTACGTGGCTAAAGGAAGAAGGCAATGGTTTGTGGAGTTATAACAATGAGAAGAGAAAATTCAAATGGCTGAGTAGGGATATTGTGTTGCATTACAGCTGGGTGAAGAGGACTGCTAATTCATTTGCTGACAGGTTAGCCAAGCAAGGGGTGAATAGGGAATCTATATTTTGAGCTAACTTTTGACTTTTTTCCTTTGTACTCTGTGGGTGGGGAGTTAAGACATTTTGCCTCCCCCTTTTGTACTTAAAGTTTCATATCATTAATAAAGTTTCTTGTTATTGATCAAAAAAAAAAAAGAAAGGGTATCTTGGGTTGTATTGTACATAATATATACAATAATTCAGAATGGAGAGAACTTTTTAGGTCTACTTTCTTCTCCCCAACATTTCTAAAACTCCTTGGTTGATCCAGGATGGAAGGAATGCTCAGAAATCGTGAAGGAGCTACAGTTCTAGAATCCTTAGACCTTGTTAGATTACAAATATTGGTAAGGGCTGTGTTTCTATCATTGCTCACCTGGTTACAATGGTTCTATAATAGTGGCGGGTGATTTGCAAGTGGTGATAGGGTGAACAACAGAGGGAGGGGATGGATCTTGGAGCTTATGGTACAATATTTGAGGGGCAAGATACTTGGCACATGACTAAGGTGCAGTTTCAGATGGGACTCCCAGGTTTTCCAATTGAATGGCAGATATACTAGCTAGGGAAGAGGTAAATGGAAAACCATTGTAGTTTGTACATAAGCAGTAGGACAGTGAAAAAGTTCTTATCTTGGGTGTAAGGGAGGTGACTGATCGAGGGCTCAACTTATACTGTTAAGAAGCATAGTGTACATACTGTATTTTAATAAAATGCTGATAGTTCATCATCATCTAAGCCATGTCTATGGGTCAGATACATGAATTCTGTTTCACCATTCTGTTCTGTTTAGTGCCATATCCATCATTAAATTATAGGTTCTAAAAAATACTGATAGTTACTGATCAGAAAAAAAAACCGGAGCAGAGAGATAAACCTAGGAAAAATTGCTACAATTGGTTCTAGTAAAATCTAATGTTTGAACTTTATTTGGTCACACAAAGGAATTTGATGGATTTGCATGTTGGGAAGTTGGGGTTGTCAAGTGCCAGGTTTTAGGTAGGTTCTTCTCTAAATGGGCTCCATTAATTAGGTATTTGCATTTTATATCAAATGCACCGACTCACATTTATGTTGACAGTAGAGTTTACTAGAGTATCTTAAGTTGACTGGTTCCTATGTTCTTAAGTATATATACACATGAAATGATATATACCGTGATGTATAAGTCTAGTTGACTTCTGAAACACTTTGAATGTACAAGTCTAGTTGTAATTTTTTGTTTCTGCTCTGCTTCTGCTTTGTAAGAGTTGGGATGACTTCTTGTCACCAAAACATAGTATTTTCTGCTTGGTTGAATGAATTTTTTCTTTATTGATATTCAAAAAAAATGATATACACCCTGGTGTAGCACTGCCTTCTCCGATATCATCACTGCAGAAAAAAAAATTATTCACCTTATGTTTGCTGATGATATCATTACTTGTTGCCAAAACAGAGGTGAAGAAGATCTAGTCAATTTGTTGGCTTTAATTAGATGCTTTGAGAAAGTGTCAAATTTGAAGATCAATCTTGAGAAAAGTTACTTGGTAGGTCTGAGGTTGGGGAGTAGGTTGGTGGGTAGATATGCATAGATTTTAGGTTGCTCCGTGTTATAGAGCAAGTCAAACAGAAATATGCTGTATGGGTGTGTCTAGAATGATCCAGAAAGAGATCTTTATATATTAATGATAGTAAAATGGACAATTCTGTCCTTACTCCTTACAAAGAGAGTGATACAAGTATAAGTACAAAGATGATTCAGTGTATATGGAGTATGATACAACAGTACTCCTTAGGTAGAAAAGAAACTGAAAAGTACATAAGTAAAACTGACCACAAGTTGTTTGTATAGTGTAGCATCACATAATAACTCATATCATTTTTGGACAACTTAAGACTAAGCTCCATGGGAATGTCAACTTGTTTCGAGTCAGAAAGATGAGCCATGCTGACAAGATCTAAAGGTTGCAACTTGCAAGGACCATTCAGTGTATCTGGTTTGTTTTCTGTAAAATCCTTTTACCCCAAGGTTGCAAGGATGGATGAGATTTCTTTCCCAGTTGATTTGGTTTTGCATTCTCCAGTGCCTTCAAAAGTCTCTTTTCTGGTGTGGAGAGCATTTCTTAATTCTTGTTTAATGAAGGAAACTTGAGAAGAAGAAGAATGGTATTTAATGGTGAGACTTGTGTTTTGTGCAATGGTGCAATGGTGAGACTTGTGTTTAGTCTGTCTACCTTTGAATGGCACACAAAGAGAGGGAGAATTATGTGGAAGTGCATAAGAGCAGCTTTGTTGTGGACTGTCTGGGAAGAAAGGAATACCAGAATTTTTTGTGAAAAAGAAAGGAGTTTTTGGAAGTTGAAGAATGTATTCTGACAAGGGTGCAATTAAGTGGCTGAAAACTCTAAATTTCTTTGATGCATACCCTTTCGATGACCTATGGAGAAGCTGGTTAGCAGTGGCTAATACTTCTACCAGAAAGGACAGATATGTGGTTGAATGGATGCCACCTGGGGAGGAGTTTATTAAGCTGAATTTTGATGGAAGTAGCCGAGGTAATCCTGAACCTTTAGGCATAGGAGGAGTGCTGAGAAATAAAGACAGTAGCTTTATATCTTTGTATTCAGGTCCTGCGGGTGTGGGAGACTCTTTAAGGGCTGAATTACTTGCTTCTGTACAAGGAATCCAGCTCGCAAACCAGCTAGGAATAGAGCATCTGATTATTGAAGGGGACTCCCAGGTGATAGTGGGTTGGTTGAAGGATCCAGACTCTGTGATCTGGGGCTTTAGAGATTTTCTCAAAAAGGTTAAATGGCTAACAAGGAATATGACAATCAGAGTTCAGTGGGTATGCAGATTGGCAAACTCAATGGCTGATTCACTTGCAAAACAGGGGGCTCTTTGGGCTACTTTATTTTGGGCTTCTGTGTAATTTCTTTTGTACTTGTAATTTTGTAACTAGTCTTAAAGGAAAGGTCGCACTTCATGCCTTTTCCATGGATTGCCTGTAAATCTTATTTGCTGGATTAATAAAATCTTACTCATTTATCACAAAAAAAAAATGGAGAGCTCTAATCACATTTTCACCCAGTACAAACTTACTGAAACCCTCTGGTAGTGGGTGAAAGATGTTTTTGAGAACTCAATGCTACCTTTAGTTGGGTAAGGAGAACTGCAAATGGAATGGCTAATGTAGGGAATTAGTAGACCTCAGTTGTTCTGGGCAAAAGTTTAAGTTTTGATGCTTATTGGGTCTTGTTTGCACCAACCTGTTGTACTCTCCTTAATTTTCTTAATGATTAATAAAATTCCTTGCTGACCAAAAAAAAAAAAAAAAGATGTTCTTGAGGTGGCCGGATGCAACCTAGACTCTTCTGCTCCTGCATCAGGCCCCCTCCACCCAAAAGCTCCATTGGCATAGATTTATTCTCTTAATAATGATTAAGTTTACAATTGTACAAGATTGATGTCTCTATACTGAACTCAAATGGGTGAGTATGCAGGGCGTATTACACTTCTTGCTGAAGGATGCCGAGGCTCTTTATCAGAGGTTTGCTCAAAAGTCTAGTAGATATAATAATAAATTCAAACATTATTTCTCCTATGTGGTACTGCTGGTTTATTTTTATTATTTTTTTGCAAACCTCTTTTACTGAGTTGGACCTTTCTGTTGTATATATACAGAAAATAATAAGAGATTACAATCTGAGAGAAAAAGGGAATGCACAACATCAGACATATGCTTTAGGCATTAAAGAGGTAATTTATAGTCATTTGCTAATTTTGTTTCTTGAGATCTGTGTTTGTTGTATGTTTTCTCGATCTCATTCTTTTCTCTTAATTTGATTACTCATTCTTAATGATGTTTCCTCCTAAAGGAGGCCTTTATGACTTATATGCATTTCCATTCCTGTCTTGTCCAGACTTTTTAATCTGGTTCACTACTATTACTAAATTTTCTTTTGTTCCTGGTAATAGTTGTTTCCTTCTCATAGGACCAATGCAGTGGGCCCATGATGAGATTCTTTGACATAATAAAAAATTTACACAATTTTTTCTGAGTGGTCATTGTTTTGGGTTTGATTATTTTTTCATGATTTTCCACAGTTATTGGTTTTACTGAATCTCACCAAATGCCAACTAGTTTTCCAGTTACAATTCTTCCTTTGACTCTAATGAAAAGAAAGAAAATTTATAGCTCATGCCTACTAACTTTGGCATATTGAATGAAGAAAAATGCCTAACTTGTGGCATATCCAGGTATGGGAAATTGATGAAGGCAAGCATAAACCTGGTTTTGTGCTTCATACAGTGGGATGGCCAATAGACAGTAAGACATATGGGGGTTCCTTTCTGTACCACATGAAAGATAGACAGGCAAGTATGGTTTTGTTTTTCTTTCTATTTCTTTCTTGTGATCAGAAAACCAATTACCATGAATTATTTGTTGACATTGCATCTCCATCTTGTAAGCCATTATTTGGTTACATTTCTCTTTGGTTTTAATTTCAGCATTTTAGACATTTTCTTTTACTATATTTTTTTTTCTTACTATTATTCTTTTTGTTTTCCAAGTTCCCTTCTTGTTCTTCAAGCATTTGTAATTTTGATTTTGCTTATTAATCTATACAGGACAGCTAGACAAGAAGAATCATTTTTTTAACGGATAACAGAGAAAATTTTATTAAAGAAGAAAAACAGTCCAAACGAATGAGAGGACTGATTTAAAAAGTGTGAAAAAAGGTTAGATATCAGCAGCAAAGAGAGAAGAAGAAGTCGGCTGCAATAGGGTTTTGGGAGATGAGTTATTCGAACATCTCTCCCTTTCCTAATCTTTTCATTAAAAATAATTTACAAAGTTTTTGTATTTACAAGGAGGCTCTTAATTGGGCGATTAACTTAATTAAGCATAAAACATAAAGAAACATAAAGGCCCATTAACAAAAAGGAATATAAACATAAAGAAATAAGAGCAGCCTATGGGCCATTCGGCCCTTCTCTCTACACTTCCCCTCAAGCTGAGCATAGATGCCAATCATGCCCAACTTGCCAATGTTATGTTGTAGTTTGGCCTTGGAGATTCCCTTGGTAAGAATGTTAGCTAACTGCTCCTTAGATGTAATGAATGGTAGACAAACTTCTCCAAAAGCCACTCTTTCTCGGGTACTGTCAACTTCAATATGTTTAGTCCTATCATGTTGCACCAGATTGTGGGCAATGTTGATGGCGGCCTGATTATCACAATATAGCATCAATGGCTTATCATACTCAACACCTAGTTCCTCCATCAGGGATCAAAGCCAAAGTAACTCAGAAACTCCATGAGCCATAGCGCTATACTCGACCTCAGGTGAGGATCTAGCAACAACAGATTGTTTCTTGCTTCTCCAAGAAACAATATTAATTGCCACCATGCTACAGTATCCCGAAGTTGACCTCTTATCATCAATGTTTTCTGTCCAGTCAACATCTATGTAAGCCTCTAGTTTCATATGGCCATGCTTAGTAAAAAGAATGCCCTTCCTAGGCGTACTCTTCAAATAACATAAAATCTGTTCTGTTGCTGCCATATGAGTGTCCCTGGGAGCATGCATGAAATGGCTAATGCAACTAATGGCATATGCAATGTCGGGTCGAGTCATACAAAGATATAACAGTTTCCCTAGTAACCTTTGAAACACTCTCTTATTTTTCAATAGTTTTCCATCAGAGGCAGAAAGTTTGTGACTCATATCAATAGGAGTAGCCACTCTTCTTGCACCCATTTTGCCTGTTTTAGTGAGCAAGTCTAGAGCATACTTGCATTGAGAGATAAAGATTCCATCCTTAGACCAAACCACTTCAATGCCAAGGAAATACCTGAACTCCCCCAGATCTTTGATCTCAAACTCTGTATGAAGGAAAGATTTAAGATCATCAATCCCTGTCACATTAGTGCTAATCATTACAATATCATCAACATAGACTATGAGATATACCACCAATGAACCTCTCATTTCACAGAGGGTATGACCAAACCGAGTCTATACGTAACCAAAGTTAACAAGAGGAGCCCTAAACCTTTCAAACCACACCCTAGGCGACTATTTGAGTCCATAGAGAGACTTCTTCAACTTGCATACTTTTTCCTCCATGTCTGTGCCATACATCCCTGGTGGGAGAGACATATAAACTTCCTCATGTAATTCTCCATTCAAGAATGCATTTTTCACATCCAACTGATAAAGAGGGGCCAGTCTAAATGAGCTGCCAAAGTTAGTAGAACCTGCACAAATGTCATCTTTGTAACAAGAGCAAAAGTCTCTAGATAGTCAATCCCATAAGTTTGTGTATAGCCTTTTGCAACCAACCGAGATTTGTACCTCTCAATAGAGCCATCAACATGATATTTAATGGTATACACCCACTTACAACCCATTGGCTCATTCCCTTTAGACAAATCAACCACTTCCCATGTGTCATTCATGTGTAGAGCATCTATTTCAGTTCTCATAGCATCCCTCCGTCCTGGAATAGTAAGAGCTTTTGATACAGACTTGGGTATAGGGTTAGAAGCAACAGAAGGAAGAAAGGCATAATATGAAGGAGAAAGAAGGCCATAGGAAAGATGTTTGGAAATGCAATGTACAGTACACTTCCATGTACCTTTCCTAATAGCAATAGGGACATCAAGATCTGGGAAGGAAGGCTACAAAGGGATGGTATCAGTACCTATTTTCTCTTCAATAACTGGAAGTGCAGGAGGCTCATGTGATGTTGAGGAAACAATCTGCTCACTCCTGGTCCTTTGCCACCGGTACCACCTAGGATTAAAAGGAGGACGAGGAGGTAATGGAGGAGGAACATGAATATTAGAAGGAGCAGGAGGTGATTGTACCCCCCTTGACTCATCAGGAATAGAAGGAAACTCAAGAGGGATAGGAAGGGGGAGTGCAAACAACTGTGACAAATACTCTCCCTGTGAACTATGCTTCCCCCGAGATGAAGCATTGAAAGGAGTGGACTCATCAAAAGTAACATCCATTGAAACATAATGAGTCACAGTTCTAGGATCAAAACAACAATAACCCTTTTGTGTGGAGACATAACCAAGGAAGATGCACTTATGGGCCTTTGGTTCAAATTTATGTCTCTAGGTACTAGAAATGTATACATAACAAGTGCAGCCAAAGACACGAAGAAGAATAGAAAAAAGGTCCTTATCTGGATAAAGGAGGTTAAGAGGGGACTTAAAGCCCAACACTCTGGATGGCATGCAGTTGATTAGATAGGTTGTAGTGAGAACAACATCCCCCCAAAATCTTGTAGGGACATGTGAGGCAAACAAAATGCTTCTTGCAACTTCAACTATGTGATGGTTCTTCCTCTCAGCTACTCCATTTTGTTTTGGAGTACGAACACAAGAACTCTGGTGAATGACCCCAGAATCAGTGAGATAAGAGGTTAGGTTTTTCTCAAAGTATTCTTTTGCATTATTGGATCTGAATATTTTGATTCTTGTATCAAACTGGGTAAGAACAAATTCATGGAACTGCCTCACAAGCTTGGGAACTTCATCTCGAGATCTCATAAAAAATAACCAAGTATTTTGAGAGAAATCGTCAATGAACAAGATAAAGTATCTATAACCTCCCATAGAGGGTAAGTGGTATAGCCTCCACACATCAGAGTGCACAATATGAAAAGGAAAGGAGGATCTTTTATTATTCAGGATAACTGTTTCTACAATGTTTTGATAACTCACAGGACTCACAATGAAGGCTAAACAAGTTAATTCCCTTAAACAATTTTGGGAATAAATGACTCAAAGCAGAAAAAGATAAATGACCCAAACGAAAATGACATAACACGATACGACTAAAAGACTCTAAAGAAGTAGATCCAAAAGCAGCTTTTCTAAGTTGTCCTTGGCTTTGTCCAGGAGTATCCAACAAGTATATTCCATTCGCCTCATGGCCACTCCCAATCACTTTCTAAGACTTCAGGTCCTGAAAAACACAATAAGAAGAGAAGAAGGTTACACTGCAATTTAAGGATTTAATTAGGCCACTCACAGACAATAAATTAGTATTCAGTCTAGGGACATGAAGGACAGAAGAAAGGGAGTTTGTAACCTTGATGGTTCCCTTGCCAAAGATAAGAGCAAGTGAGCCATTAGCTAGGGTATCTTATCATGGCCAGGAAGCAAATCATAAGAAATAAATAGAGTGGAAAGGCTGGTCATATGATCAGGAGCACTAGAATCAATAATCCAAGGATCCTACGATTACCTGAGATAGTTTCATGATTGGCTGTAGCATGTATACCTGAATGTGCAAATGCAGAAGTAGTTGGATTTTCCGGAGAGTTGGAGGAGGAGGCTGCACTCTCAAGGTGACTGATCATCCTCCCATACTTCTCATACTCTGCCTTCATAACTGCTAACTGCTCACTAGCAATCCTTTCATCTATGAAACACCTATTATTATCTGAGATTGTGGCTGTGTTGGCACTTCCTGACTTCCCATTATCAACCTTCTTTTGAAAACGAGGTGGAAGGAATTCTGGATGCAGTTTTCAACATTTATCTTTTGTATGTTTGGGTTTCTTGCAGTACTCACATATAACCTCCTTCTTCCCTGAACCACCTAAACTACCTGTAGTCACCTTAGATTTCAGCCCCATATTAGCAAAATGGTCACTTGGGATAGTCCCTTGAACCTAGACCAGCCTCCTTCTCTCTTCACTACTCACCATGGCATTGGCCTAAGACAAAGATACATTATCCTTAGCTAGGATATTTTGTCTGGTAATGTCAAACTCTAGATTCAACCCTGTCAAGAATTCAAAAACCCTATTCCTCTCAATTAATTTCTTGTATGTCTTAGAATCGTGCTTTCCCAAACAACAATTTCCATTAGATCTATCTCTTGCCACAAGGATTTCAGCATTGAGAAGTATACTACTAAAGGTCTCTCCCCTTGCCTTAGATTATTCACATCACTCCTTATCTTATATGCCCTGGCCACATTCAGTTTTTGTGAATAAGTTTCAGCAATATTATCCCATATTTTCTTGGCTGAATTCATCCATAAATAATGCTGACTAATTTGTGGTTGTATCGAATTCACTAACCATCCAATAACAGTATAATTCTCTTGTAGCCATTTCTCATAAGATGGGTCATCTTCTGGTGGTGCTTTCTTGCTCCTGGAGATATAACCCCTCTTGCCTCTACTACAAACATGTATTTTTACTGATTGTGACCATGCTAGATAGTTAGTTCCATCGAGCTTGACTATGGTCACAGCCAATAATGAGTCTACAAGTGCTCCCAGAACCTGTCCGAATTCTAAGCCACACTTATTTTCAACTCCAGAAACATCCATCTTCCTCAA